GCACTGTACTTAGATTAAACTAGTTAAGAAGACAAGGAGGTAAAAGGAGATTTTGCCACTCATGTAGCTCCAGGTACCCTAGGCTCTTTGAAAAACCTCAGTCATACTGTGGTTAAACAATAGTCTCACATCAACCGCAGTTATTTTATCAACAATCTCTAAATATAGGGGTAATTGTACAAAATATAGCAAAGTTCAGAAAGTTGTCCTTCATAAGCTTTAAAGTATTTGTGTGAATAGTTACTAAAGTATTCATCCAAGAAATCTGCTGAGCCAGGTGTGGTGGCACATACCTGTGATCCCGACGCCCAGGAGGCAGAGGCAGGAGGATTGCCATGAGTTCAGGGCCACCCTGGGCTACATAGTTAGTTCAAAACTAGCCTGAACTACATAGTGAGATCCTGTCTCAAAAAAAAAAAAAAAAACCCTCCTGAGATGACCATAACTAATGCTTTCAATGATAAAGTAAATATCTACAAATATCTTATATCTTAAAGTATATTTAAGTGAGGGCCTCAAATTAATGTCAAAGGTGTTACTGAATATTTTCCCAGTCTTGTACTCAAAGATAAAGGGTCAGGTGGTTTTCTTGGACAAGAAAGATGGTTCCTAAACAAGCTGGTGTCATAATCAGCACCCTCAAATATTTATAAAAATTCTCCGCGAAATTTATGTTGAGGAGTATGTTTGGTTTGCACAATGTAAGCTCCGTTTTTTCTAGCTTAGAGAGACTTTCAGTCTGATGCTGATGCTATAGCTTGGGTCTGACATATCTCTCAAGTGTTAAAGGCTTTGTCCTGAGTCTGTGCTGTGGAAAAGTGGTAGAACCCTTGAGAAGTAGGACCAAGTGGCAAGAAGTTAGGTCACTGAGAATGCACGATTTTGAAGGGGAGATTAGAATTCCAGCTCCATCTTGTCTGTCTGTCTTTGCTTTCCCAACCATGAGTGAGCAGCTTCCTCTGTAATGTGCTCCTGCCATGAAATGCTGCCAAGAGCACACCCAAGGGCAATGGAGCCACACAACATGGACTGAAGCCTCCAAAACTGCGAGTCAGAATACACCTTTTCTCTTGTTAAGTTAATTATCTTGGGTATTTTGTTACTGTAACAGAAAGATGACAAATACAGTTGAAGTCGGAGTCACAGAAATAGTCCAGTTAAGAGTTAGACTTGAGGAAATTTGTATCCCTCTTAAAAAAAAAAAGAAAGTCTATTTTTATGTTTGAAAAGAAAAAACATCCAACAAACCTTGGTTTTCTTATTGTGGGACTGAAAGGAGATGATTCATTTACTCATTCATTTGTTGACAAATGTTTCTTGACTGCTTTTTTGAAAATAGAGTCTTGCTATGTTGGATCACAGCTGGCCTCCTGCCTGAATTTGCATAGAATGGTATATTATAAACACACTGCTTTATGCTTTTAAATGAGCATAAGTATTTAACATAATAAAGAGATGGTTGGAAATATGCTTCATAACTCAAAATAAATTGTTTGTTCTAGCTGATGAATCCCAGAGGTGAGTGGGGGTGTGGGCCAGCTCAATCCTTCCATTTGTGGTTGAGGCACTGCATTTTGTTTCTCGGCTCAATGACCAAATGAAGGCTGGAGGTGGGGGCTGGGAAGGTAGGCACATGGGAGCAGAATGCTCACCTTGTCAACCTTCCGGATGACTCCCTCCGAGACTGTCCGTCTCCATTTCATACGGGGCCTTCCTCTACCCACAACCAGCAAGAAAGTCTTCATCTTTAACCAGGCTGCAAGCCATTTGTCTGACACTAAAAAACTGCAGGGTTTTCCGGCCAAGTGTCTACCCATATATCTTTTTATAGATATAAATCACCCTGAGAGCTGTTTCTCTGTCTTACAGTTGAAGTTACTATATACACTTGGCCTCTTTGTCCTTCAGAAGAACATAGATTTTTGTAGATAGACCAGACTTCAGTCCCTGCTTTGTTCTGTTGACTTTGGGGAAAATTTTTAACCTCTCTGCCGCTCCTCCATTTTGCTTTTGCTTTTGGTGTTATCCGCCGCCATTCTGGAACCTGGTGTGGCTGCTGCCACCATTCTGGAACATGGCGCTCTGTGGCTTTCTTCTCAAAGCAAAGCCTTTCACTTTTGCAGATTTGAGGCTGCAAAAGGTGGCGACTTGAAAAATGTTTTATAATAGTCACCCAAAGAAAGATACATAAAAGAGTGCAGGAAATCTGTCCACACACTAAGACCAAGGAAACTAGCCAAGGTCGTGGATCCCACGGAAATGTCTGGCATGAGTCCAGCTGAAGACCTAGAGCTCATAACAATGCCTCCCACGAGTCCAACTGGAAGCCCAGAGCCCATAACAATATCTCGTGCAGGCCTGTTTCACTGATCTGTGCTGGAAAGGTCCAAAGGTCAGTGGTAGAATCTAGGAAGTCTGTGCCAGCGGGATGAAGGATCTGTGCTAGCAGGCTGAGGGATCTGCACTGGAGTCAGGAAGCAACACACAAAGTAAGAACCACAGCTCCTCAAAAAAGTACCACAGCCATCCTCAGCAACAGTGAGGTCCCAAGCTCCTCCAATGGTGAAGATGGCTGAGTTCCCATCAGGAAAGCCAATGGAACAAGATTCTCCAGGAGACTGAGCTATGCACTTTCTTCCCCTCCTGAGCCAGGAAGCGATACTCAGACATCTGAGGACCAGAGCACCTCCAAAGTGAACCAAAGCTATTCTCAGTGCCAACAAAGTCCCGAGCTCCTCAGAGGATGAAAACAGCCAAGTTCATCAGGAAAGCCAGCATGACAAACTCCTCCAATAGAACCAAGAGCTCCTTACAGCTTCTACCAGCTCCAACAGCCTTTCTCAGCTCCCAACAGCCTCACTTCTTCTCCAGTTCTGCCTCTTATGCTGCTGGTAACAATCCCAAGGTGGGCCTCCCACACTCAGCACCATGCTTACTCAGTTCGGCTGGGGGTTATAAGTTGACCACCAGTTGTCAATCCACTACAGTATGAAAAATATAATATAAAATGAAGTGTTGGTAATTTTTATATTGATCACATGTTCAAAGGATATAATGTGGGACATATTTTGTTAAATAAAATATTAATTTAAAAAATTAATTTCACTCCTTTTACTGGTTTAAACACTGCTACTAGGAAATCTTAAATTACATATGTAGCTCACATTGCATATCTATTAGGCATGCTGATCTAAGGGAATGCAGACATGTAAAAATTGCCAGGCATGGTGGTGCACACCTGTAATCCCAGCAGTTGGGAGGCTGAGGTAAGAGGATTGCCACAAGTTCAAGATCACCCTGAGGTACATAGTAAGACCCTGTCTTTAAAAAATAAACAACAAAAAAAAGGAATGTAGACATCTAAATTCATAGAATGTTAACTTTTGATTGTGTTTCCTACTTGAAATCCCTCCCAATCCAAAGACTGAAACTAAGGGAGGAAAAAACATACTAGCACCTTTTGAAAACAGTGTAGCAATTCAGGAGATACATATATGTGTGTGTGTGTGTGTGTGTGTGTGTGTGTGTGTGTGTGTATATATATATATTTCTAAAGAACTCTTCTGGCATCTTGAATGTTTCCAAGTAGTGGACCCTGCTTTGGCAAGCTTAGGAACCCAAACTCTGGGAATAAACAGGAAAATGGAGCCAAAGAATTAGAGGACCCCATAGTGTGAGTTTGTGCCCCCAAAACCAGGGTGAGTAAGCCTCATATATGCACACATCCACTTTGAGGACAAAAAGAACTGAGTGGGCCTGGCACAGACTTAAATCTCTACCTGAAGGGGTTACGGATGCACAGGGCATCCCAAATGTTAGCACAGCCTGTGCACAGTGAGTCACCCGGGAAGACAAGAGTCATTTGTCTCTGCCTACAGATTGTCCACAAAGCAATTTATTTTAAGGAGAGTTATCTGCTAGTGTTTGTACTAAAGACTTCCAGTTCATTATTTCATTTAAATTTCATTAAACCTTATGAAGTATCACTATGACCTCCATACTACATTATCAAGGTTTGGTGATGTGTACAAGGATGCATAGCTGGGATTCAAACCAGGGCCAACAGACTCCAGACTCCAGAATCTATATAATCTACTTTTTTTTTCTTTTTTTGAGACAGGGTCTTGCTAGTGATTCAGGCTGGCTTTGAACTCAGTATGTAGTCCAGGCTGGCCTTGAACTCACAATGATCCCCCTGACTAATCCTTAGGAGTGCTAAAATTACAGGCGTGCACCATCCTGCCTGGCAGAATCTACATTTTTAACTGTCCTACTGAACAGCAATCCAGTTGTCATCCTAGCGACCCTGGGATCACCTGGAAGAAGATTCTCCTTTCCTATCCTCCCCTGATTTTGCCAAACCCTAATCTCCCGCCTTAACCACCACTGGATCCGGTATGATGCCTAGCATTCATTCATGTTCAGCATCCAGCATTCTTTCCACAGATGCTCAGTCTTCTAGGGGTATGAATGAAATCTTCACAAATGTTCATTCTATTAATATCGCTAATAGTCACTAATAACGACAGCAAAAGCAGTAACTGACAATAGTAAAATCATTGTTGCTACTAATAATTGATCATAATCATGGTAGTATCTATGAGACTTTCATTAACAATAATGATTACTTCAGGAGGCTGAGGCATGAAGAAAACAATTCTTGCGGTGGATCTCTTGAAAGGAACCACTGGAGGAAAAAAAATACTTTATCTTGGAACAACTATTTATTATGTTTCTGCGTTCTTCTATATATTGCTAGCACGAGAAAGGTCAGAGTGAAAGAAAAAAACGACGGGGACAGACTTTGTTTCTTTTGCGCTAACAAGGCAGAGCGTTGCCGTAACTCAAGATGGCAACCGTCTCGAATTTCTTTTGGTCCGTACAATTACGTCATGCAGAGATTTCTACACCCTATCTCCTCGAGTCGACCACTACATTTCCCAGGATACTTTGCAAATAATGTCGCATTTAGTGGGCGCCGACGGAAGTGCGTCTCCCTGAGCGGAAGTAGAAGTTCTGGGAGACTTGGAAGGTGGAAGCCGGAGGAGTTGTGAGGCTGTGAGTAGTGGGGTTCGTCTGGCGGCTTGGCAGTGAGAAACGTAGGTTGGGGATAACCCTGCTCGGAAGCGCAGGTTAACACTTCTCTAACTCTGGGTATTCAGACTCCTGCGCCCTTCTACTTGATCTGGGGGCGGAGAGAAACGAGACATTACTTGGAGGCGAAAGCTTCGTATTACCCTCTTGGGGCTTTACGGCTTCTTGGAACAAGCTAGGGCGAATTCGGACTCCTGTCGCCACACATTGCCATTGCTTTTGCTGCGACCTGAGGGGCGGGACTGCGGACGGTCTGACTCAGCTAAAGCAGTGGTTCCTCATTGGCTGCACATTCACCTACACAGGCCCTGGCCCAGCTCCAGACCAGTAAAATCAGAATCTGGACAGGGTCTGGACAGCAGTATTTTCTAAACCAGCCCGGGTGTCACTACGCAGCGAAGGCTGAGAACCACCCTTCTAAGTGCCGGATTTTGACCCCCACGAGGATCCATATTAGGACCCGGATTAGGCCCTTGGGCTCTCCTTCCACTGTTAACTATCGCGTGCGTTTCTGTCAAATCAGTTGTCACGGTTTTGGCGCAGATCCCAGTTTGAGCTCAACAAAAAACCTATTTTAGAGCTTGGGGTGGTGGTGCTGGCAAAGACGGAATTTTCTTATTTACGACTTGGTCATTCATTCTAAGTAAAAATTAGGGTCACTTCATTTTTCTTGCTACTGTTTTAACCCCTACCCCCATCCCCGTTTTATTTTTCCTACCTCATTAGAACGTGAGCTTGGAATATAGAAGAGTCACCTTAAAATCCGTCTCTTGTTAGGGGTTGGCGGTATAGCACAGTGATAGGCCCAAGTGTGATCAATTCCCAGCACCAAGGGAAGAAAGAAAAATCAAGTTTGCCTCTTGTTGTTGCTCATAAGTCAGGTGGGCCTATCAGTCAAAATAAGGTTTGGCATTATTTCTGGGTTTATGAATGGTAATCCATTTATTAAATAATGAATACCAACAAAAGGAAGTTAGGCGCATACTGGGCTTTGATGCAGAGGTTTGTTAAGGTATGAAAAACAGAGTTTCTTTTTCATGTAAGTACCATTAACACGTATTTTTTCCTTCCCAGAGCATCAGCCTCACCTCCCTAAGAATTCAGCATGGAGGAGAAGTCAGAAAACTGTAAGGTTCCAGAGGGTCTGTTTAGTGGTTTGAAGATTACAGAGCCCCAGGAAGCAGAGTGTGCCAGGCCTGCAGTTCCTGATGCCAAAGATCAGCATTCCCAGAGCAAGCAGCTCAAGGATGATGAGGAGGCAGGAGAAGAAGAATGTTTTCATGACTGCAGTGCCTTCTTTGAGGAGGAGTCAGGAGTGGATGAGGTTCGGAACAAGACCGATGATGATGGGAATTCCTCTGAACTAGATGAAGAATACTTAATAGAACTGGAAAAAAATATGCCAGATGAAGAGAAACAGGTAAATATTTAGCAGTTTCTGGTACTTTCATAAAGTGTTGACTGATAGTGTCAGTTTTCTAGTGCCATCAGGATTTAACAGTTGCATGGTTTGGCTCAATGTAGCTCATTCTGTTCTCTCTATACTCAAGTTAGTAAAACATTTTGGTCTCCTAAGGTTGGAAATCATTTTTTAAGTTCTGTAAATATTTTTAAGGTAATTATTGTATTGCCTAAAACCTCAATGTTACCGCAATATTTCTTGCTTTTTTCCTCTCCTTTAAAAAAATTAAGGTGTAATTTACAAATGGTGGAACAGTATATCAGTTCTAACAGGTCCAGTTCACATCCCTGTCAAAGTGTGGAACATCTGCATCGTATCAGAAGCTCCCTTTGTGTGCATTCACCAGTCATTCCTTTTTCTCAATCAAACCAGGGATCCATTGTTCCAATTCTTATCCCATAGGTGATTTTCAGGGAATCAGTGCATGATATGAACAGCCACTAGCTAAGTCTGTTGTTGAGTACTTGAATTGCTACAATTGAGATGCTAAATGTTCTTTTATTTAAATATTTGGTGTGGCTAGTAAATACCATATTGGGCAACACAGACTTAAACACCTGCTTTGTTTCTAGACATTTATTTTAAGGAAATCAGTAGAGGCATGCATAAACACATTATAGGTACAAAGATACATTGCAGCATCGTTCATAATTTTGGAAGGCTAGAAAATATTGAACAGGGTATTTGTGGTATAATTTATTTGGTCTTCGTTTCTGGTCCCTAGAACGTAGCCCCTGACACCCTTGAAATTTCCTAAGCAATAGGGTGTCTTTTGAACCTTTTGAGAGGGCCAGGGTTTACGCTGAGTAGTTGATTTTGGGTGGTGCTCCTAGAGTGATGACTCAAGATGGGATCAGTTACCAGAAAGACCAAGGGATGCCAGAGTTGGAACTTTCAGCCCTGCTCCCCAGATGCTAGAAAGGGGGGAGCGGGAGGTGCTAGAGATGAAGTTCAGCAACAGCTCTTGGACCGGATCTCTCATGAGTTTCCAGGTGCTGGGCCTATGGACGTACTGGTGGGAAGGTGGTCTTGGAGAGGGCATGGGAGCTCTGTCCCTCCTCCCACACCTTGCCAGGTGCATTTCTTCACCTTGACGTTCATCAGTATCCTTTGTAATACATTAGTAAACGCTTCCTTGAGTTCTGTGACCGTCCTAGCAAATTATCCAACTCATGGTAAAGCAGGTTATAAAACACGGATGATTTCTTCTAAATTAAAAACATGAAAGTATGTTCATACATGAAAGTTTAGAAGGATATATACCAAATTGTAAGCAAATTAGTACATTAACAGATTGATTTGGTGGTACTGGGAATTAAACCCAGGGCCCTTCCCACTGAGCCACATCCTCAACCTTTTTAATTTTTCATTTTGAGATAGGGGCTTGCACCAAGTAAAAAAAATGTTTTTTAAATTTTTAAATAAATAATAAAAAATAGGCAAGGCATGGTGGCACACACCTGTAATCCCAGCACTCGGGAGGTTGAGGTAGGAGGATCGCTGCAAGTTCAAAGCCAGCCTGCACTACACAGTAAGACCCTACCTCAAAAAAAAAAACCAACAACAATCCCAGCACTCTGAGAGGCTGAGGTAGGAGGATTGCGAGTTCAAGCCAAGCTGGGCAACTTAGTGAGACCCTATCTCAAAATAAATACAAAAGAACTGACAATGCAGCTCATGAATGCAAAGGCCCTGGAGTAATTCCCCAGTACAGTTAAACAAGAAACAGTGTATTGGAGGAAGAAGGCAGTTAAGATTTGGTAAAAACAGGCAGAATCTCTTAAGAGACAACAGTGTATGTGCTCCCTTCTATATTACTGCTATAAATCTTAGCTACAAAGTATGATTGAAATATACGGGGAATGTTTAAATTTAATAATATTTATTACCATAAGAGATACATTGCCATTAATCTCCCTCAAAAAATGCCCCCCTCAGCCGGACATGGTTGCACACGCCTGTAGTCCCAGCACTCAGGAGGCTGAGACAGGAGGATCGTTGCAAGTTTGAGGCCAGCCTGAACTGTACATCAAGACCTTGTCTCAAAAAGACAAAAAAAAAAAAAAAAAACCCTCACTTCAAGCACACTGACCTCGTTATTCATGCCACTTTCTGACGCAGTTTCAGAAGTCCTCTGAACTTCATGTCTTTAGAAGGTGTGATCAAAATCAGTGAGTATTTGTGTCAGGCAGGCTCATAAAAACACTAGTGTGTTCTCATCCATCCTCCTCACCACTTCTGGTAGCATCCACCTTCTGGTTCATCCCCAGTGTCAAAAGGACTATGCGTAGTAAATGTTTTGAATCAGTTCTGGACACAGAAGCAGCCTTGATAGTGCTACTAAAGACCAGGAAGAGGATGTTCAGAATTGCTTCAGAAAGTGGCAAAAATGATGAGATCAAGTAGGTTTGTTTTTCTCCGGTACCAGGAACCGAACTCACGACCTTGCGCTTGCCAGGCAGGCGCTTTGCCGCTGAGCTAAACCCCCAGCCCCGAGATCAAGTAGGTTTGAACCAAGTGGGAGTATTTGGAGAAGAAATAATGGAAATGTGTCTTGTTTTGTTTTGTTTTGGTACCGGGAATCAAACTCAGGATCTCACACTTGCCAGGCAGGTGCTGTGCCACTGAACAGCCGGGAAATGTCTTTTACTGTAATACTTTTTTTTTAATATTCACTGTATTTTGGGAGGGGTGTTTTGGTTTTTTTTTTTATTTTAAAAATAAAACAACAAAAACATATTAACAGACATCCATTTACAAAATAGCACAAGAACAATACAAGCAATACTGAATTACAGACAAGGATTTTGTTGTATTACATATTGATATCTTCAAAGTGGTTTCTCAGGAAAACAGACATGCAAGACAGATCAAATAATTAATCATTAACTGTTCCTTTCAACCAAGCGATAGAAGTCAATAGTACAACTATGTTAGCTATCCTGTATATACATACATGTTTAATTTCCCCCTTCTTTCTTTTCTCTTTTCCCTCATCCCAGTTTATTCACTATATTTTTGGTCATGCTTTATATTTATGAGAACATAAGTAGAAGCATGACTACTCACAGGAAGAGATTTTGGCTAAAATTTGAGATGTACTAGATAGGTGAAGCAAAGAAATGGGTCTTAAAGGATTGGATGGGGTACAGGGTAGATCTGGCAGCAGGTGAGACTGGTATGATACCTCTTTGTGTGTCTGCTTGGGCTGCTACAACAAAAACACTAGGCTAGATAATTTTTTTTCTTGTTTTATTTTTGCTTTTTAAGACAGCATCTCATTGTGTAGGTCAGGCAGGCCTTGAACTAAGTAGCCCAGGGTGTTCTCAAACTCATGATGATCTTCTGCCTCAGCCTCCTGATGGCTAAGATTACAGGTGTGCACCACCACACGTGGCTAGACTGGATAATGTATTAACAGTAAAAATGTGTTGCTGATAGTTCTGGAGGCTGGGAGGTCAGAGGTCAAGATGTCAGTAGAGTACGTATCAAGTGAGGGCCTATTCCTTATAGATGGCACCTGATGTGCCCTCCCAGGGCACAAGAGACAGGCAGCTCTCTTTATAAGGCATTGGTCTCACTGATGAAGGCAGTCTCATGACTTGGTGAATTCCCTTAAGGCCCCATCACTTTATACCACTGCAGTGGGTGGTATAAAGTTTCAGTGTGTGTCAGTCTGTGTCAGTCCGCCTGAATTGTGGAGGGACATGCTTAGAGCACTGCAGATGTTACTACACTGTTGGGACCTGTGGCACATACCACATTATAATGGTCCTGATCCTGTAAGAAAATCACCCTTTATGGGTTACTTGTCATGATGCAGTTTCGTAGGTCTCACGCCTGTTTGCTGGGTAATTCATGTGTGCACGCTGAAACTTGAGGAGCACCATCACGGGGCCTTTTGCACATAGTCTTCTGCATTATGTTGCTGTTGAATGAGTGATGTCATTGTCATTATCTTTCCTGAGGGACCAGTAGTTGACCTTACAAGTTACAGATATTTTATCCTATGCATTTATTCAAGAAATATTTGCATTTCTTCCACATGCCCGGCATTGTTTCAGGCCCTGATGGATGCCATGTACACAAGATAGGGTTTTCTCTCATAAGCATAAAAGATCGTGGCAAAGTGACAGAGGGGTAGGGGTTGAGAGCACAGTGCTGTGGTCTGAAGGTTTGTGTCCCTCCAGAACTCCTGTGGAAAACTTAATCTTCAATGCACTGAGTATTTGTATTGAAAGGTGGGGCAGCAAAAAGTCGTCATCTTGGAAGCAAAGAACAAGCCCTTACCACACACAAAATCTGCTAATACCTTGATCTTCAACTGCTCCGCCTCTAGAACTGTGAAAAATAATAGGTTATCCAGTCTGTGTCATTTTTTTCTAGCATCCTCAACAAACTAAAACAGGTAGAGAAGACTCCTTTTCTTTCCGTAAGCTCATCCTTGTAACTGTGGGCGTGTGTGTGGAGAATACCCTGGTGATTGCTTCTAAAACGTTTTCAGTAACTTCTTCCTTAGAGACCTGCATATTCCTGTTACGCTCAGGAACAAGCACTGACTTTCTCTTTCGTTTCTAGTGGACTGCCTTTTGCCATTGTATGTTCTTACAGTAGCCACTGTTGGGTTTAATGATTGCTGTCGGCAACTGATTAAATCAAAGGCCTGGAATTTAAGGACTGTTAGGGACCTTGGATTTCTGATGATGAATTTAAACTAGGAAAATAGCCGCTTGCTGTAAGACATTTGGACGTTAGTGGGATATGTTTTCATTATGTGCTGCTAGAAAACTTAAATGTGATCTCTAATATTTCCTGTGTTTGTTAAGCAGGATCACTTTGTGTAGATCATTGGTTCTCAGATTCTTATGGTGCCTAATAGTCACAGGAAATGCATTAACTCTGCAAAGCTCTGAGCATGTCTGACACTACAGGCCTGTAAGGTGACAGCCAGGCATCTG